GAACTGTTTTTGGCACCAGGACAATGCACTTGCTCACACAGCCATCTCAGTGCGGCAGTTTTCAGCAAAAGTACCATGCCTCTGTTGCCCCATGCTCCTTACTCACCCGACCTCACTCCAATCAATTTCTTTTGTTTCTGTGAATACAGAGGGACGTAAAAGGGCAGTGATTTGATGATGTATAATAAGTGAAGAAAAAATCCGGGAGGTGCTGTCAGCCATCCAAACAGATGAGTTTGAAAAATCTTTCCAAGAATGGAATCTCAGATTTGACAAATGTATTAAGTGTAATGGAGGGTACTTGGAAGGTGATAAGGTTGTTTTGTTTTTTAAAAAAAGTTAGTTTTGGCGGAAAATCCATTTTGGGGGGGTACCTCATTGTATATAGGTAATTAGGCAATATTTAACAGAAATATATAAACAAAGCCTTGCACTATTTTTCTTTCTTTAAAATTTTTTTTCTAGATTTTTGTTTAATTCTGAAAATGCATATGGGGAAACCGCATTACACACAATTGCCTCAGATTTTGTTCTAGCACAGGAAAGTTTTTTGTTGAGTAACTTTTTGACAACTTGTGATGTACAGTCCATAGATCTGAAGGAATGGTTGTGATTAATAGCATGAAAAGACATAAGTCCTTCTGCTGATGCTAATTTCTTTTCTTCATCTCCATAAGTTGTTTTCCCAAAAAAATTCCTGTTTTTTGGAGGAAGATGCAGCAGTATTTAAATATCTTTTATGTTTCTGTGTCTCCAAGTGCTTTGAAATATCATTCTTCCCGCCATGCAAAATAGAAAATTCACCATTACATTTCTCACATTTTACCATGTAATCGCTTTTGGTTAGTTTAATAAAAGGAAATCCACTTCTTAGATCATCGTTGAATTTGCATCCTCTTTTCTTACTCATTATGTTAAAAATCTAAATTATCTGAATAGCTGATTTGTTGACATCACTTGTTTAACTAGCACTAGCACGCAGTATGATGCGCATCGTCTGAGAGACAGTTACAAAATGTTTTCGTCGTTGCCTATGCCAAAAAATGCCATTGTTCATTAAATCCAAACAATGGTGGTCGAATTCTAACAACCCAGGCGCAGGGGTTCCTGCCGTTGCCACGTCTGCCAGCAACTTGTGCCCTGCACATTTAGTAACTTCTTGGTCTTTTGTTCTTATTGCTGACGATGGACCAGGTTGGGGCTTTTTTCTCACATACCAGATGACCCTGGACGGTTGGACAGACCTCAGGATCCGTGTGTGGCAGGGCTCAGAAAACACCCAGACCCACGCGACCGCTCACTTTCAAGCAGCAATCAGCCGGGACCAAACTCCGCTTGGAAAGGCTGTTTTTCTTTTTCAGTGAAGTGTTTCGTTTTTTTTATGATAATGTGGTTTACAGATACTTAGTTTATGGATACTTAGTTTTAGGAAATTAAGCTGTTAGGGGTAGTTATATTTTATTAAATTTGTTTAAAATTAAACTAAGAGAGAACATGCCAGATGTGTAATTTTTACCAGAAACTATGAAAATATTACAGAGACAAAAGCCAGCTACAATACCCCAACTATCAAATTGCCAATATAACACAGCTTAGAAAAATTTCACTTTACAAATTTCAAACATGAACCTAGCTGTCTTAATGGAGAAAGATGGGACTTCCTACTGCCATAGAGTTACAGTCTCAGAAACACACGGGGGCAGTACTCCCCTGTCCTATTGGGTCGTCGCTATGAGTCAGTATTGGCTGAATGGCATTGCATGAGTGAGTGAGATGCACATCAAGAGATCCTACCAAAAGAGTAAGATTAAAACCCACAGATTGGGAAAAAAGAACCTTTGGTAACAACACAACATACAAGGACTAATCATTAAAATATATAGAATTTGGTAACATCTCAAGAAGAAGAACACAAATAATTTAATTAAAAGGTGGGCAAAGGAAATGTACAGAGAATTCACCAGAGAATGCACTCAAATGGCTAATAAACACATGAGTAAATGCTCATGATCACTGTCATCTGAGAGATATGAATTAAAACAACAATGAAGTATCACCTCATATCACAAAGTATCACCTCATATCCACAACAATAGCAAAATTTTTTAAAAGCACAAATGCTGGAAAAGATATGGAGAGACTAGAACGTTTATATACTGCTGGTGGGGTTACAAACGTATACAACCATGTGCAAAGCAATATAGCACTACCTGAAACAACTGTGAAGAGAAGTACCATATGACCCAGCAGTGCTTTTGTTGGGCATATTCTGCAGAGCTACAGATCTATGCTCCCCCATGTTTATAGCAGCACAGTTCATAATAGCCGGAAGCTAGAAACAACAGAAATCCCATTGTTGAAGAATGGATAAAGAAAATATGGTACATACACACAAAGCAATACTATGCATTCCTGAAAAAAATGGCGTTGAAATCATGAAACACCTCATGACATGGAGGGATACAGAGATCATTATGCTAAATGAAGTTAAGTCACGTCCACGGAGCCAATGCTAACTCATAGTAACCCCCTATGGGTTTACCAGACTGTAACTGTTTGCAGGAGTAGAAAGCCCAGTCTTTCTCCCATGGAGCTGCTAGTGGCTTTGAACTGCCAACCATGCAGATGGTAGCCCAATTCCAAACCACTATACCACCAGAGCTCCTATTAAATATAGTTAGTCTATCACAAAAGGACAAATATGGTATGAGTCTACTGCTATAAACACCAAGATGAAGGCAAGATTTTGCTCTCAGGAAATGTAATCTTCCAATTCGGTCTCCCAAGAACTGAGGTAGAGAACCTGTGTAGTACTCATGAACAATATGTACACATCTCCCCCTTTATATGCACATCTTAAAAACCACTTTGATAGAGGAGACCTCAGCTCAGCTGGAGTCAGTTTCTGAAGGTAAGCAGGGAGGGAGAAGGCCATTCAGTTGCTGACATACCACATGATCTTAAAGTTACCCCAAATCAACAGAGGAGAATATTCCTGGTACTATTTCCTAATTGGACTATTTGACCTAGTTTCCATCCAGCCATAGTTTCTACCTGTGGTGACTCAGGTAGTATGTTACAGACTTCTGGGACTTTAAACCCAGTCCTCTCAAGGCAAGCAACATCCTCCACCACTCACACCAGAGGTTTCCATGTGAAAACCCGACTAAGCCAACTGGGCTTTACTTAAAACTCACCTATAGCAGATTTAAAGAACTGACGCACTCCTTTAGGCTTAAGGCTGAACCGCCCTATTGTAAAAAGAAGCAGATAATTGCTAGCTTAGGTTATGACATTGGAGCTCGTTGCACTTTGGGTGGTGCCTAATGAATGGTGGCCCAGGATTACAATATGTTCACTATTTTTATGGTCTCCTTGCTTTCTTATAGCATGTAGTAGTCTGGTAGGCACAGTTTTGCCTTTGTGAGTGACTGTTATTGAAATATTTGTCCTGAAACCAACCCCCATCATTCCTGTAAATAGTATCCAGTCACTTAAGAGTTTTATCTGTACAAGTTAACAATTCATACATTGCAATGTGAAAAGCCATCTCTACTTTTCTCAACAATGTATTAGATTCTATAACACTGGCTTAAATAGTAACATTACGTTATTATTTTAAGATAGTTATCTTATATTAAGATAACTTATGTCCCAAGGGGATGATTTATAATATTTTCCATTATAAAATGATAATGATGTCTCTAAAGGAACCTCAGACATTTATAAACTATAAATATATGATTGGACTTTAGACTTGCACTTAATTCTAGCTCCATTCTAAGAACCATTAATTAGTTCTTATGACATGGCCCTACTCAATACTCACCTTCATGAAGAGATCACTGGGGTAGTGTAGCAAAGTGTAGTGAAGACCTAAAGCCATATTTTTGTAGGTCATCTCAGTTAATTTATCTAATACTGTATTCTATTTCTCATCCATTATAAATGTCTGGAGATTTAAGGGCTTGCAAGCAGCAACCCCAAGTAAAACAGTTGGTCTCAGTTCATAGGGAACATCAAAAGAAGGGAAAGGCAGGTGGAAGAAGAACTAGACTCCCTTTCTGATTACCTCCATTAACAGGTGTCTACTTTGCCATATAGCCAGAAGAATCAGATGGTGTCTGGCACATTTGTGATCAAGAAGTCTATAACAGAAGCAGGATCAAAAGGAGAGAATTATAAAATCATTGAAATTCTCTAGGTTCGTGGAATAGGGATGGCACAACCAGGTTATCCATCCGTAGGTGTCCTTTTTGAATCTTGAAAGAACTAGTTTCCTGATGTTGCTTTAAGGTCACACAATATAGTTTGCAAATTAATGGAGAACATTTTGCTTTATGATTTGGGGCCTTTGGGGGGAAATATGTGTGGGCAGTTTTGAGTAGGAAGAATTCCAGGTCTGATTATTTGAATCTGTAACAAATAGACCTTGAAACCCTAGTAGTGCTTTTATATTCAGATAAATTAACATAATAATGACTTATTAACCCATGTTCACTGTCACTTTTCTGAGCACCTTCTCAGCTTTTTTGAGTCTACTGCTTCTGATTTTATCTACCCATAATAAAATATTATGTTACATTAATTTTTGGTATTATCCTAATCATTTAGGCTTTTTACACCATCTAGGAACTAACTACTCACCCCTCAAAAGCAAAAACCAACAAAACCTGACTGCCACTGAGTTGATTCGCACTCACAGTAACCCTGTACAAAAGGGGAAAGTGCCCGTAGGTTTTCAAGACTTTACTGACGTAGAAGTCACATCGTTCTCCCCCACAAAGCAGTTAGTGGTTTGGAGTTGGGTTAACAGTTGCGGTTAACAGACCCTTGTGTAACAGGAGCCTAGCAAGCCTCTGCACACTCACAGCTAGTAGGGAGTCCGGGGCGGGGGTGGGTGATTTCTTTTGTACCATGCCCAGGCAGGATTCATTTCCTTGCATGAAAGGCATATCCCAGTCTTTTATTTTAAGGTGGCTTGGCCATACTAGAGTCACCTTGCGTCGGGATCTACTGGCTGGCAGTGTTTTGTTGCTTTGGGTTCCACTTGCTTGAATAGTGTTACCTGTTGTTCCGGGCTGATATACGGGGAAGTGGGTTTTCCTTCTGGGAAAAAAAGGAAGAGAACGATGAAGAGTCAGTCTCAACCCCTACCTGCCCCACTCCCGACAGCAGCTGAAAGCTGGGTCCACAGCCCCATCTCAGACTTCCTGCCCGGGCCCTGCCCTGCGCAGGTGACCGGTAGCGCCTCCTGTCCGTGATTGGCTGGCAGCTGGGCCACGAGCTCCCGGATTGGCTCCCGGAGCCACCGGCCTTTCAGATTGGGGTTGCCCAGCGACGGGTGTTTTGGTTCGGGCGCCGAGTGCCGGGAGTTTGGGCTTTGACTCTTCTGCCTATACAAACTCCAGCCTCGGGGCGCTGGGGGCGGCACTCTGGGAGACACCTTGGAGAGTGGGTGAGTCGGGGCGGGGGTTCTGGTCTTCTGTACCTGGACCAAAGTGTCAAGTCCAAGGTCTGAGCGCATCACGTAGTTTGAGCACTGCGCGAACTAGACTTCCGATTCACCCAGTCCACAATGATCTATTACCCAATTTACAACTTGCGTGTGGTGTCTAGTATAGCAGGCAACACCTACCAGGGGAATGTGGGGCTCACTTTTCCAGCTGCCGTGCCTGGCGGCGGGTCAGCACTGGTAGTTACTGGAAGGTGCTCGAGAAAGCATCACCAGCGCGGTCTGCCTGTTCTCTTAGCAGAGCTCCTGGACCCCAGGCATGAGGAACACAAGCAAGGAGCTGCAAGGCGCCACCAACCGTTACGCGCCCTGCGGTGAGTACCTTTCCCGGGAGCTCTGCTGGAGGTCGGGAAAAACGAATTCCTTTAAGTGGAAAGCGGGGAGGAACGAACGGGACAGCAAGATTAAAAGTTATACACTTAGAGAAATCTACCAGACTGCCCCGTGTGCCGGAGTGTTCAGGCAAAACAGAGGGAAATATTTAAAATGAACTCAAAAATGATTTTCAATAAGAGAAAACCAATATTGCCTATTAATGGCCTCAATCGCAACAATGGGGTGTCTTTGAAATTTTCTTTGTAGTACTCTAACCTTAGGTAATTCCTACAACCTCCTCCAGCCCCCCTCAATGTTGGCTTACGTAATTTTTTCCAGCTGTCTCCTCGCTTGTTTCATCGATTATCTCTAGTTTCTAAAGCAGACTCCAAACAAGTGAAATCTATTCCCTGTTTAAGTGGCAGGAAAACCGACAACATGGATTCAGTTGAGAGCCCTCCTTCCTACCATTCATACACTCGTTGTCTTACTTGCCAGGGTTGAAGTTGGGCGCCAGCGAAAGAAGACGTGGGATGCTGGGACCTGTTTTTCTTCCTTTCCACTTGGTGAAGGGAAAGGGCTAAGGAGCTGAGCTGGGAGAGATTCTTCTAGCTCAGAGCTGATTGAAAACCACCATTAGTGACCCTTGACCACACTAGCAACTGGACAGGGAAGAAAGCCCAGCCCTGCAGAGCATGTCCTGGGTGCTCCGGGTGTGCACTGAAGCGTTTCAGACTTTGTCTCGATTGATAATGACCCTATCTGGAAGAATGGCACTAAACAGAGTAACGCAGTTCTAGTGCATTTGACCACCTAAGTATCCTATCAGGTATCATAAACCTTGTTTTATAGTTGAGGCACACAGGGTTTTAAGTCACTTGCTCACAGTCACACTCCTAACAACCAACAGTGTGGCTCTACACATAGGTCTGCAAACTTATTAAAAAACCTTTGTACTATAGCCCACAATCCAGGATAAAGTGTGGGTATCTGCTTCTGCAGCCCCATGGATCGTTCCAGCATGTCCAAGGGACAGTATCACCCACTTTGGGAAACACTGCTCTACAGCCTGCGCTTTCACTTGCGTTTTCTGATGCCGACACTCCTGAAAGACAGGAGCTGGTGTGTTTCTCCCGAAGCCTTCATGGTTTACAAAACACTGTACTGTGGCCTAGAGAGCTGGGTGCAATTTCCTGCTGAGGGATCTTAAGTTGGTCTCTTATAACCTCTGTTTCTTCATTAATAAAATAAATAAGATAAAGGTACTAATGCCTGGCATATACAAAGTGAATAAGATCAGTATCATATACCTCACTGCCATCAAGGCGATTCTGACTCTTAGGAACGTTCTATAGGGTTTCCAAGGTTTTAAATCTTTATGGGAAATAATTATGGGAGCACTAAACCTCATCCTTTTCCCTTGGGACAGCTGGTGGGTTTGAACGGCCAATATTGCTAGAGCTATGCTTATAAAACAGTGCCACCAGAGCGCCTTGGTATTATACAAGGGCTTCTGATTTGGGATGATAAATGCAAAGCAATAATTATGTGTGTGTGTGTGTGTGTGTTTTGAGTTGATTCACACTGATTCCTGCCCTTTTTTTTTGAGTTTTGGCATGCATATTTATAAAATGGTCAGACAGATTGGAGTTCAGTGTGTGTCTGCATGCACTGAAGCTTCCAGTAATGAGAAGGTAGAAGATACACTGTTCTCTGTGGATTAATTAGTAATGAAAACATGGAGAGGAAAAGTAACCAAGCATCGAATGCCTTTGCTTCATAAGAGAAAATATTTGAGTTGAGTGTGGTCAGAATATAAAGCTGCTAAACTCCTACTCCTGATTAAGTTGGTTCCCTGTGATCTTCTGTGCAGTTGTTTAAACTTTTTGCAATTTTTTACTACTTTTAAGACTTGCCTAATGTAGATTTCGTTGATGACTGAAAATTATGTGTCTAAAAGATTTGCCATGCTAAATTCAATGTAGTGCACTCAGCTATAGTTTTAAGTAGAGATTGAATGTCTAAGCTCTTTGCTTAGGGGATGATTGCTTCTTGTTTCTGAAACAATTGTATGCTTGCTATTGTTCGAAGCCTTTGAATTGGCTTCAACTCATAGTAACCCTCTGTCACAGAACTAAATATTGCCCAGTTCTCACCATCTGTACAACTATTGCTATATTTGAGCCCATTGTTTCAGCCACTGTATCAGTCCATCTCTTTAAAGGTTTTCCTCTTTTGTTTACTGACTCCACTTTCCCAAACATGCTGCACTTACCCACTTACTGTCCCCTCCTAATAGCCTGTCTAAAGTAAATGAGATGAAGTCTACCATGCTTGCGTCTAAGGAAGATTCTTACTGTGTGCTTACAATAATTCATTTATCCAACACCATTTTCATGTGCATCTTTCATGAGCAGGACATGCGTTCGACTCTGAACTTTATGAACTTATGACAATCAATTTTAATAAGTGGTACTACATATAATGAGACACTTGTACCACATCAGTGACATTTTCTTGTATTTAAAATTCTTTCTGGAATTTGTTTCCAAAGTTTTCCATCAGATTTGATTTTTACCCCCTCTGATACTTGGATATTTGGTTTGCATAAGACACTTATTGCCTGGATATCCCCAGATATCTTCTCTCTGTAGGCTCATAAATAAACACTAGCAACTCAAAATCCCTGGGGTTTGGCCAACACCTGTAACTCCTGACAGTAGCTCCCCTAAATGTCTCCAGGGAGTGTTGTGGGCGGTCTCACCCCAGCTGCCTAGGATCTGTCTGGACTTCTGGAGCTGACAGGGCCACTGCGGGAATGGCATTTCCTTGCCAGGCCCATGGTCAGTTTCCCTCCCATGGCCATGCTTGATATGGGTCACGATTACTGTTGGGAAGAAGCAGAGTTACTTCCTTGGTTCCCCCTCCCCCATCCTTTTTGCCTACTGGTGTGCCAAACTTCCTCTTCCTGGAACCTTTTCCTAGAGACCCTGAGGTCTTTCAGGGAAGCCAGACCCGGTCATTTACAATGAAAGATGGTTTACTCCAGCATGTGGTTGCCCTAACAAAGTTAAAAGTTAAAAAGTCTGTTTTCGGAAGGACTTCAAGTTAGTTCTTACCAATTTAGTCATGACTGATGAAGGAAAACTGGAATGGACCTGAATTTGTAAA